AGATTTTTGCCTTCCCGCCTTCGCTTCGCTTCGGCGGGATAATTAGTCCAAATCCTCTGAGTCCCCCATGTGCCTAAATCGACTTCTTTAATTTCATAAATCTGCGTTTCATTTGCTACAAAATGCTGAGTTCCCAGTAAGCCGTGTAAATATTTTTACCGGTACAAAAGACTGAGACCCTAGCATCATACTTACCATGCTTATAAACGATTACGCTAGTGATCTTGGCAAAGTCTCTTTATTGTTGTTGGCGATCACTGTACCTTAATCTTCCACCCAGAAGCACCTGCACTTCAGTCTAAAACCGCTAAATAATATATTTAGTTTAGCGTCGTGCTCGATTTCACGGGCCGTTTCTGAAACCTAGATTGCAACAATGCAAAGAATATCTGTCCAGCTTGCATCAAATACCCGCTTGTACTGCCTGGTTAAGCTTGTAATAAACTGACTAGTAACCACTTCGCAAACCAAACTCGCTACTTTGAAAGAAAATTAAAAGTGTTTCAGAATTAGTCATTAGACACTCCAATCTGTGCCTGTTATGGTTATAGCCTTTGGATATAACGATGCGTCGCAAGACGCCTTGCTGTTGTTGTTGTTGACGGCGGTATTTTTATTTGATACTTAATTGATGATTCCAGGATGGATTAGGCTCTAAGTTGATTAACGTTTCTTTACGGGCCTACTTATAATAACCATAATTGACACCTCTCATGTTGTGCTGTTATCTTACCGCTGCATATAAAACCTTATTATACGCCCTTATCGGCAACGCGTCTACCTATTAAGAAGTATCAGAATTTTGTTGTCTAAAAAACCGCTTAGGAAACAATGGTCAGGTTCAATTCGCTTTACAGTAGTAATTGTCATCAGCACATATAACTTCTTTTTGTTCACACGTCAATCTAACACTATATATCTTTGTGGATCAAGTGACAACGTTTATAAGCACAGTTTTGTTCTTACGGCCAGTCTACACGACCGGCTACTGCTGTACATGTAACATGTACGATTTAGCAATACAGTCAGATAACTTATTAATGCTAATATTTTTACAGTAAATATATTGAAATTATCATTTTAGTCAGTGTAACACGCAGATCCTACTGAGTAGTATATTAAAAAAAATCATGATCTCGGAAACACGCATGCTTACGTGTACGCTAAGCACCCTGCCCTCCTTTTACTGTAGTATTCAAATATCAATAACAGCTTGCATTATGAAAAAGTATATAATATTTAAACGATGCCGCCTTCGGGTATAATATTAATAATGTATAGCCTTGTGCAAATCCCCAAATGTAAACTGGGAAACACATGCATCTATTGATGTCAACAACACCATCTAGTTTTAACCAATTGAAGACACCTTCGCTGCGCTCGTCAGCCAGTAGAAATATTTAAATTATTTTATCCAATGATTTGTCCGGAAAAGCGTGACAGGCACGACAATTTAGTGTGACGGACAGACAGGTTGCTGCAGTAGATGTTTAAGACTAGCGGTCTGGGCGTCCGCTCCGCGGACGCTAGGGCATGGTTGGTTGGTGTAGAGAGGGCTGACCACCTCCGCTGCGCTGCGGTGGGCTTAGCTTGTTTAACTCAAAGCAACATAAAATATATATTCCGTGTTCTACTTTATGTTATGATCCAAAACAACACCGCACACAATATCCTGAGTGCTCACATATTATGGTAGGGTTTAACGTGATCTGCAAGATGAGCACCATCTTGCCCGGGAGGTTTCGTCTATAGTCTCATTTGAGCGCATAGCTCCCACAATGACGCCAATCGGAGGCGCGCGTGGTTGCAAAGCTAATATATGCTGTACGGAAGACGGGTCAGTATCAATGATGCTACGAAATATGCGTAGATCGGTGAGGAATCCAAGTGTAGCTGGAGAAAATACGCCTACTCAAACATATTACCCATCTGCACGTCATCGCCGTGAGGCAGTCGACACATATCATCGATTGCGACGGTCTAACAGAGCAATGTTAATCAGCTCCTCGCGCGATGTATCTTTTAGGATAGGTAGTATTTGCCGATGGTCGCCACAAATATCAATATTATGCTTTGAAATTATTCTGCTGAGCTGTTTGTGATGTAACTGAAGTATATTTTCACTATCTTTCGCATGCATTGATCTTACTTGCATAGCTGACGTACTTTCTGACTTATTTGCATAGCTACTGACTGACAGAGTGGTGTAACTCTTTGCCGAGTGGCATTTACTGGCTCCGATATGTATGACGAACATAGGAAGCCACCTGACTGTAGGCTGACTATCAACTGTAGTGATGTTTAGACTTAATCTGAAAAGTAGCTCATGTACATTATATGAGGTACTTTTGCTGCCTACTTATCAACTCAACGTGCTATTTGATATGTTCGTGCATATATTGCGAGGTCGTTAATGAGTGTATACCACGCGCTCGTGATATCTAAAACCTATGTATAGGGTCACTGTCGCTCTCTCGGTACATTTGCGTCGTCGTGCTGGGTTACTGTGCTTACGCTTCTGATGTATCAGTCTATATGACCAAGCAGGTCACTAACTGGGCACAGGCCATACTGCAGCGATACTGGCAAGCTGACCGCGCGTCTGTCACTTGTATTCAACGCAGTATCTACGCGCGCGGCGGGTACACCTTATCGCCACCCGCAACTGAGCCGAGCTCTTATCTCGACCATTATGGACATGGCACTAAAGTGTAGTACTGCGTACAGACAGTTCGACTTACCACACCCACCAGTATTGTTTGCGCTACCGCACACGTGCTCGTATCTATGTAGACAGCAACTTAATCGTCGCGGGTAGTGCTCACACGATGCTGTAGTCTCAATTTGTGAGCGCACACTAATGGAATACGCTGTGAGCGCTGATGGCACAGATAGCATGGTTTACATGTGTCCAAGTGAGCGAGTATACTCTGGATCTATTGTAACGCGCAAGCAGATAAGGCCGGTCAGCTTGCAAGGGCTCACAGCAGATACCATGCGCTAATTATTATATGAAACGCGCTACGCTCTGTAGGTGCGTCAGCATTATTGACAGCGCCATAGTCAGTTTACCGTATGTGCGGCTCCAAGCCTCGTACCGTCAGCCAGTTTACAAAATACAAAGATGGGTAGGAAAATGGGGGCCTACAGTGCCGCACGCTGCCCCGTCCGCTGATTGTACGGAACGCGTAACCGTACTGCAGCTTCCCGCAGCAGACACAGCGCGCCTGGGAATCCGTTGCGGGTTCTGCAGAAGCGGGTCAATCTTCGCCTCGCATTGCTTGCACGTAGGGCCCACCATTTTGCAAACTGTGCGTATGTTAGCAAAATATTTTGTTTTAACCAATTACTTGCGTCCAAATATTAGCCAATAGCTTGGAAATATAAGGCTGGTATTTATTATTTAGAAACATATTAGACAGTTGATACTAACGTTTTGGCTTTGCTATAATATATTAATATTAGATTCCCAAACAAATACATACTTTACATGCAATATAAATTGCCTAAAACAATTATCGATCGTGCGCGCATGCATCCGTCGGGTGCGGTGCACGGGAGCAGATGGCGCAATGACCGTGCAGCCGCGCGCCTTCATTGCACGGTGGTAGTGGTGAGTGCCAGGTGACGTAAAAAATATATATATATTCGCAAAGTCCCTACAAAAAGCGCTGGTCGTGAAGCCTACTCTAGTATTAGAAAAATACTATCGTCTCTACTTTAGAAAGTCTGTGGAAAATAGCTCTTACAAATGCGGCCTGTGAAGCTTATATTAGTAATATTAATACTATTAATAATGTCTTTACTTTGAAAAGTGTGTGGAAAATAGCATCCCTGAGCTCTTACAAAATACTGGTCTGTGAAGTCTACATTAATAATATTACATATCTCTATTTGAGAAGTGTGCAGAGCTCTTAGAAAATAAAGTGGTTACTGTGCCCGATTTGCAGTACATACGACAGGTTTTGCGTAGCTGAACGCAATAATCAAGTATCTGCTGGCTGTTTGCAACCAATCGATGCGTTTCGTGCTCGGCAGAAATGTTTACCTTACGTCCAATCGCGGGGGAGAGAGGCGGTCTGATCGTGCAACAGATCCAGTCAGTGTCCCAGGTCGGCTGGTATTGCCCAATCAGGGCGCGAGTTAATTGTGTCACGCTTTTGGATATATTTGTAATTTTGGAATAGTTAGGTCGAGTCAGAAAGGTAGGCGCGGTCGGTACGATGGGAAGAAACTGTATTACAAAGGCCGGGTGTAGCCATGCGAAAAGGCAGGAAAAAGCAGGAAGAGAGGAAAGCGACGGACTGATTGACAGACGGACGGACGGACACGCTGCAAGTTTAGGTGGCGGGAAATTCGCTAAGTGCTCGCTCATAATAAAATGACCACTTTATCAGATTATTGTTGTGTAACACAGCGTGGACAGGACAGTTCTGTATATCCTGCTTGCTAGCGGTCAAAAACAGCTCTTTGTGTTTGCTCGTGCCCATTTGTGTTTGCCAATGTCGTAAAATTATTTGTCGTCGGCCAAAAACGTGTATACTGGCGTACCAGACGGGGAGCTCGGTAATATATTGGCTTGTACTACAGTATAAACCAGTTGGTAAACCAGGGGGTCGGGTTTTACAAATATGGACTGATTTGTACTTTCAGAACGGGCGTACCTAGATTCTACACATCCCTGATCATCAACCTGATGTACGTTCATAATGCAGTAAGTGACCTTTCTAAAACTTATTTGCTGATAAAAGACTACGTTTTACGGCTTGAAGAAACATATGTCTCAAAAGAGCAAACGAAGGATAGAGGTCTGTGTTCTGCACACATCAGGAAATGTACTTAAAATATCTCAACTTACCAGTTCTGGATAGCAATGCTATCATAATTACTGGGGGGTTGCAGGGACATCGTCCACCGGTTCAGTCTATACGTATTAATGAAAAAAATGGATAAGGCATTTCTCATTTTTCTTCTGTGCCGCCGTATTCCTCTTTGAAGTCATGCGCAGTACATTCTACGTGGCTCTAGCCTTCGCGATTGTGACTCGCAGCAGCGCTTCCGCAGAACTCCCGAATCCCGACGAGACTGGGCTCTTATCAGACACTTATACCAAAAGGTCTCTTCGGGTCGCAGGCCAAGAAGTCGCCCGGGGCGGGCAGGGCGACGAGTTTGTGAAAGTCATCGTCCAGAGTACAGTCGTGCACCTCCAATTCGGCAGGGCGGACCATATCAACAGTGCCAGAGCATATGCGCACAACGTAAAGCAAAAAACAAACGCAAATCCAGTACACTGATTTTTTATTTGTTAATTCAGTACAACATTTACGCCAATCTTCTGCATAATCTTGGCGTCAGACGCGCGAATCGCGGGCGCGCAACAGCGCTTCCCACTCCGAACTTGCTCGTTGGGCAACGGAGCGCTTTAAGACCCCCCAAGCAGTATAGCGCACTACCGTCCAGAGTATTCTTAAGCGATCCGCGGAAGTTGCCGCCTCGCCGGACGCCTATCGCGACCAGAGCATGCAGGATCTGACTTGTGCTTCTCGCACAAAGACTGCTTTAGTGGGACATGTAGGAGGAAGGGCGATGTCCCATTGTCTTTGGCGGTAAAAATCAAAGTGTGTGTTTGTAAGAAGACCTCCGATCCAAAATTTAAAATCAGATCGATGCGGCGTGTCATCCCTCGGCCGCCGAGTCGGCGAGGGGGGGAGAACCGTTGAGGTTAATTGCTAGGGTGGTGATGGGCAAAGGTAATTGCGCATCCGATTCGCGTAATCATACAATCTGGCAGGGTATCGACTGATACCGGTGCCGAATTGGAGGTGCACGACTGTACTATTAATAGCAAAATCTTTAAGAGACCGGCGGATAAAGACCTAAGCAAACTGATCGCGGCGGCCAAGAAGGCAAATTGAAGAACATGAAGGCTAAGCTCTCAAACGTCATTGAGGAGGCAGCGAAGTAGCCACATTATTAGTTTTTTTAACCCCTCTCGAAAGCAAATAAGCTCTAATGTAGAACTACTTCCGTGAGAAAAATAAGCACCCACAAAACAATTTGGGCTGCGCTCCGCCTTTTTTATTCGGGCTTAAGCTTTGCTTGGTGCTGTTTTTTTTTGCTGCTGGATGCGGATGGCAAGATTGCTTCTAAGCGCTCACAGAGCTGTGCTTGCTCGATTTTCTTTTGCTTTCGAGGTCTATTCCTTGGTTTTACCCGAGCGGCAACGCGGGCTCCTATTGAGCTGATACCTCTCTCCCATATGCGTGCAATAGTGAAACGAGATATGTGAAAGTTGGCTTCTATCCTGATTAAATCAACAGGCTTAAGGTTACCTTCTATACCGCCGAAAAGCAGCGTTTTTTACACGGATTAGCGCTCTTCGACGAACGCTTGCTACATGTACAGTAAAAGAGCTCAGTTTGCGAAATGACAAGTTCCCTCGAGGCCTCAGAGGGGAATTGGACCAGTGCCGGTAGAGACGTTTGTTTAAAGAGCGTTTAAGACGTCTGTTTGTTTGAACATTTTTCACCGGACTCTTTTTACAGACACCTACGGGTAATACGGGTGCGGGCTTAACTTGAATTGATTATCATGACAGTCCACTAATCGGCATATTGCTCATGAAGAACCATACTGATTTTTTACTTGCGTCTGCACACAGTGTCCACTATTCGGTCGCTGACGGTAGCCAAAAGTACACTGTACCTTTTGAACATACAGACAACGAGCCATACCTTTGAAACACGCCCGAGTCCGTACATGGGTTTTCCACTAATAAAAAAGTTTCAGCCAATCCGTATGCCGTATTTGGGCGTTTTTGTACAATCAACCGTTGATTCCTGTATTGGTTTTGTACATTTTGGAATCGTTTTTGTACTTCGTGTTCGCTGAAACTGCCACTTTCAACCAATCAAGTAGCTGGGCGGGTATTCCTGTCACGCGTAATAACTTTTTTATATGTAGGATAATGTTCATACACCGGACGGATTTCACCGTTGTCTGTACGTCTGTTTGTTCCTTTAAAAGACAATGGATGTTTAAACTCCGTTGTAAAGACGTCATATCTTTCCGCTGCCAGCACTGATTGGACGGGAGATTTAAATATTGAACCTCCTACGAGTAGGCAAGTGGGATGTAACCACCTCTGGAACAATCACGTAGAATTTGTTTGACAATCCTGTGGTCGTACTCAGTCGAGTTAGTGTGTGACTTTTGGGTAGAGTACTTACTTCTGACACTGGGGAGGCATGTCATAATCGCGTCGCTCTCAACTCTGGGAAACACAGCAGCTGTATGCAGTTTGAAGACTTTGATATTTACCAAGGGTTTTCACGAACACTTTTTACTCCTAGCATTTTTAATGGGTGCTTGGGATCTTTAGCGACCTGTGGTTGCTTTGGCCCAAGCCAGATTTCTAAGCTTCCTACTATTGATGCTAGTTTAGCCAAGCACCTTAATGTGTACTAGTTATGTATGTCAGCAATGGAGTCATATTAGATCACACAATAGTACATATCACAGCAGTGCCCTCACGCGAACGACGCAATCAACAAAAAAACGATTTAATGGTTTAAGATTCCACGATCGGTTGCTGGACACGCAGAACCTCCACTGCGCCTGGCATCGTAGTATTTTTTTGTGTATGCACCTACCGGTCGCGGGGGTGATGGCGCTACAATCTTTAAGCAAGCAGCTGTAGGGTAATATGAGGAGTTTTTAATGAGCGACGATAGCGTGCTAGGAGAGCTCAAACTGATTTAGCCATCCTATGTCGTTTTCGTGTTTCTAGAGCGTAGCTGATCAACTGTTGATCATGCTGAGATCCTTTTACAGCGATGCCAGTCAACGCGGTATGGTATATATTTTGTGTTTCACGGTGGTGTTTTGCGTGCGTTTAGCGCCTACCTAACTCCCCAAAATAGCAGCGGTTTGTATTGAAAATTCGACAGGGGTAAAATGAAATCGTGTGCGCACAGACGCACAGAAAGCGCAAACGTTGTCATAGCGTCAGACGCCAACAAACGTATGAGCAGGGCGATTTTGACGTGATTTTGTTTTTGAGAACGTAATTTGACTGGCGCTAGGTGCATATTTTCCTTGGGTATTCTATTAATACCGCCCAATTCTTCCGTTGCATTTACTCTGTTGTAGAAAGTAGAAATTCACTAACCAGTTTATGGGTCAAGTCTCGTCCCATCGGAGCAGCAACCGCCTTATATCTAATGAGACGCAATAACCTCCGGTAAAGGTGAAAGTCGTTTCCGTCGTAGATATTGTCAAGCTGTCACTTCGACATGGGGGTCCGCCACACTTTATTAGCCCTTAATATCTTTCAGATTGAACTTTTTCGCAGCCCTCGTCTTGTACACCTTATTTGCCTGAGTAGGATCTTTTATCAACCTTTTCGCCACTTTCATCGCCTCTGCCTTGTCTAAGATATTTTATCGTGTCAAAGAGGCCACGCTTCTCCCAGTTCTCTTGGCCTGCTCGAAGAAATCTTTTGCTAATAGAATGGTTTCTTCCCGTGGTAAAGTCGTGGGGCGATATCTTCAATTGAAAATGAAAATAGCGGGTGCGATGACGAAGGTCAGACCATGACTGGAAATGCTTGGTGGATTGTAAAGTAGAAAACAAAAGTAGAAATGCCACCACTGAAAGGCTGGTGCAACAGAAAGGAGCTGTGAAGTGACGGTCCTATACCCTTACTTCTTTATTATTATGTTGATATCCGTTGATTTCCGTTTCAAATACTTGTGCTCGCACCATAAGCAATTTTAGAGCTGTAACCCTAGTAAACGGTGCTGTTCGTTGTACCGTAAGCCACGGTATCAGCTCTTCATACGGAGAAGTACGCGGAACACGTTCTGTACAGACAATTCTCTTTGTAGTGAGTGATATCGTCGGGCTCTTTTCAGCACTATTCGGAGGAATCACTTTCCAGAGCTGTACCGTGACAAGGATACAATCTCCATTATGGCAATTGCTGCATCACGACTGCCAAACTGTTCAGCGTGAGCGTGGACCCCCCCCCTTATATGGAGCTTGGAGCCTTAAAAATTCGATACCTGCGCCGGTCTTTAGAAAACACTGAAAGCACACGGGCCTTCAGGACTAGTGAATATTAGATCCCTGAAGAAGAGGACATGCCGTGATGATGTCGCGCTTGTCCAGGAATGCCATTTGCTTCTTCCGGTCCTGCTTACGACCCATTTCAGTGGATTCGTCTACGACTACGTTCTCTTCTGGCGTTTTCAGCAGCTTTTCGACGAATGTCAGGTCTTTGTGTGCTTTTTCAGACGTAGTTCACCAATACACATCCCCTTCGCTTAATGACCTCTATTTCATAATAAAGAACTGATTCTCATCCAGTACAATCTGGAGGCTTGTCCATATCAGACCTCGCAGCTAATTTAAATAGAACAATACCGATTTATGATTGTAAAATGCACAGGGGGAGCAAATGACAAATAGTGTACAGATAATCCTCTTTGAAGTAACATCTAAAAAAAACTCAATTTAAGATAGTTGCAGTAACGTCCGAAAAAACAAATGGCTCACTGTGAGCCATTTGTAGCAGGTACCTATCAGTGATCTTTTACATAAATGTACTCGAAAATACGTTTACTAAAACCTTTATATCTTCAAGATATAAAGGGTTTTCACAAGATATTATCTTCTGACCAGGATTGGAGGAACTAGTACATTCAACAAATCAAATGATTGTGTTGATATGCACCGACTCTGCACGGTTCGGCTTAACCGGCGTGACGTTCCAAAATGGACCGGTCTCAAACCGGTTAATCTGGTGGATGGCCAGGAGCACTGAAGATTAGAGGACAGATTTAATTGACTTTAATCTACTCACTTCGGCATTTGCCTTTAACAACAAACAACAGGTTAAACAGGCGCAACGCTCAACTCTACCGGAACGTTCCAAAATATGACAACGACCAAAGCGCGCCGAAGTCCGCCTAGGGAGTGGGAACTACTTCCACTGGGAGTACAATATGCGCATGACGCTAGCCAGGAAGGGCCCTGCTTGCGCATATTCAAGCCGTCAAGCCGGAGAACGAGATCACCGAGGCGTGGCTCGTCAATGATGCCAAGGCGCGCGGCATCATCGCTCAGGGAGTGGAACTTCAGCATCAGACCAAGATTCGGTCGGCCACTCGTTCCATAGAAGCTTGGGGAACGCTGCGAGAGTTCTATAACCGCACCACGCTCCACAACCGCGTGACGATGACGCGTCGCCTCCACGAGTTCAAGATGGAAAGTGGATCGACTATGGCCAGGC